AGAATTAGCCTGTAATACCAGCACTTTGGGAGGCTGAGGGAGGAGAATCTCTTGATCCCAGGAGTTTGAGGTTAGTGAGCTGATTGCGCCACTGCACTCTAGCCTGGGCAGCAGAGCAAGACCCTGACGCATACACACATACACAAAAAGATTTACCCAGATAAAGTTTAGGGAGCAAAAGGGAAAGGGGTGTCCAGATCAAGAAAACAGCGTTTGTGAAAAACACCAAGCTTGGTTCTTTGAGTGAAGCACACGTAAAGCATGAGAGAGGGAAAAATTGGGTACTTCTCAGAATCGGGCTCTGGAGGTAGCCAGACCCATGATAATGAAGTCCAAGAGACTAAACGTTTTCTTGTCACAAATGTTTAAGGATTCAGACTTTGTCCTAAAATGATGGGAAGCCATTAATGGTTACATGATGAGTTCCTAGTTCCACATGGTTTTATTTATTTATGAGACAAGGTCTCACTCTGTCACCCAGGCTGGAGTGCAGTGGTGTGATCTTGGCTCACTGCAACCTTCATCTCCCAGGTTCAAGTGATTCTCCTGCCTCAGCCTCCCGAGTAGCTGGGACTACAGGCACAAGCCACCATGTCTGGCTAATTTTGTATTTTTAGTAGAGACGGGGTTTCACCATGTTGGCCAGGCTGCCACGTGGTTTTAAATACGGTTGGTCCTCCCAATCTGTGGGTTCCACATGCATAAATTCAGTCAGCCACAGATCAGAAATATACAGGAAAAAAAAAAAAGGAGGGTTGAGTCTATATAGGAAGTTGTTTAGGAAAGAATGACAAGAAAATGTCTGTACAAGTCTGAACATGCATAGACTTTTTTTCTTTTCATTATTTTCTAAACAATGTGGTATAACAACTATTTACATAGAATTTACGTTATACTAGATATCATAAGTAATCTAGAGATGATTTAAAGTATACAGACAGAAGTATCTGTGCAGGTTACATGCAAATACTATGCCATTTTATATAAGAAAGTTGAGATCCATGGATTTTGGCATATGCAGGGGGGAATGGGAACCAGTCCCCCACAGATACCGAGGGATGACTGTACTTGAAGTTGCCAGAAATCCAAGCTCTACAAACTTTCTAAAATCTGCCCCCTGAAAAATAAACCCAAACCAGATTTTTTTTTATCTTTTGCATTTGAAACAGATAGAAATCCATTTGTCCACACAGCAACTTCCAAATTTCCACTTGTTAATAGTTCATATCACTGTAATACCAGTATCTGTTTGATAAGTATAAAGTATCCTATTGAGAAGTCAATAAAAAATACTTGGGAGGCTGAGGCGGGCAGATCACGAGGTCAGGAGATCGAGACCATCCTGGCTAATATGGTGAA